AGATTACGTTAAATTTGACAGAGATGTCTCTGCCGACCACCATTGCAAATTAGCATTCTTCTACGGTACTTGCTTAATGTAGTCGTCAATACGCTATATCACGCCAAGTCTTTTTAGCGACGGAGGCTTGACTAGTCCTTTTCTCTAAATTTTGAGAAATTCTCTAGAGCTGATAAATTTAATTTGCGACATTAATCCATCACGAGAAAAAGTTTGATGAAGCAGCTATTAACTTCATTTAGTTTGCTGCTCCAAACGTGAAGAGCGTCACATAAAAAGCGTGAACGCTTTGCCGTCATGCATAGCACAGCAAAGTAACGGAAACTTTCTAATTATTTCAGAAGATTGGCCGTTGATAAAACATCCCTTATCGGCATTTAAAAATACTTTCGTACGCTTTTACCCAGCAAATTTTTTGTTGTGTTGTAACATCTATTATCTGCAACTTACACAAAACGAAGTTTTTGCCAACCGCGCAAATAGATAAAATAATGGATTGTGTTCCTTTTTTCGAAAGAAAATACATTAACTATCTGTACACAAACATTCCTCTCCTCCTCTTTTTACGAGCTTTGAAAACGGAAGGCATTAAATAAATTGCAGTATGTTTTATCGAGTCTGCTAATCCCAAGTTGGAAATCTGGCGGGCATACTAAGGAGCCGAACGGTTTTCCGTTTCATCACGCCACCGCAAGAACTCAGTGAAGCACGCGTATGAAGTTTCATCCGCTACATGCGTTTGTACTATCGTGCAGCAATATTAAAATCTTGCTGATATAACTTTTGCGGTGTATTTGATATGTTTGTGAATATCCATAGCATACAGATATTCGTTGAATAAAATCCTTTGACTGAAATGAGCTTGCATATTAAAAACGCGCTTCCTCTACTGCCTCGGTTGGTCAGACTGTGAAAGCAGGTTTTAAATGATTCAAAAATAGCTTCTAGGACACAAAAGAAAATAATGTTTATCCCCCTAAGCATTTTACCCCATTAATTCGTCCGCAGTCAACCAGTTTCAGTGAAACGGACAAAAGGTTTCATGTCAAATCAAGGGAAGAATGTATTTCCGTGAATTATTTTCCAGGTCAGTAGAATGCAGGATGGTTAAGGCGAATTGGATGTATATGTTTTTGGGAACAACCTGTCCACTTCTACTTTAAGAGCAATGTGGTGTCTCGAAATTTTATTTTTCTCTGCCCTTGGGAGATAATTCATGTCGAATCATGGTTCAATTCATTGTTTTCCCCTTTTCAAACACTCCCAACCTAACTAGACTTAACTCTTACAGGATTCCATCTTCAGAGACGAGAAGTAGCAAAAAAAGGAGGGTAATTATAGTGGCTATAGGCCAATCAACTGTCAAAAGTCATCAGGTTGTCAAACGGTTGGAAACAATAATCAAGAAGGATGGCGGGGCATTATAGTGGTGTACGCTAATAAGCAGTCAGTGGAGTCGGGGGAGTCATGGACAGCAATTAGTGTGGCACCTTGCCTCCACGGCAGAGGGTCCCGAAAACGCCGCCTCCTCATTCGATGTTGTTACTTCTCATCTTTGAAGATGGACTCCTGTAAGAGTTCGAAAGCTCAGGACAAGAAACCAATTGGCCCGGTGCTTTTCTATGCAAATGCCTGGAACGAGAAAAATTATATTCATCTACTCCCAACCTAACTAGACTTAACATATTGACTTACGTTCGTTTCCTTTGATTTTAGCTAATTATGAACCCATCAAGGCAAGACATAAGGGACAAAACAGTGCACACCATTATTGCTCTGCTCTGGATTCTCGCCTTCGTACTTTCCACGCCGCTTGGAGTTTTCGCCACGCTATCTGTGAACGGTTCCCTGGACATATGCTCAGAGGTCACCCTCGACTACAATCTTCGCATAACTAAAGTGGTCTACTCCGTTCTCATGATGCTGTTCCTCTATGGAACACCGGTGGCTCTTGTGAGCATAGCCTATGCCCAAATCTGCGTGATGGTGCATCAGAGAATTAAGAAGAAACAACAACCGCAGTTCAAGCTGGGCAACATCAGCACCACTCAAAACTACGCCGTTTCTGGAGTTTATGACTCTAACAGAAATTTCTCTGTCGTTAGTACAACCGAGCCCCTGACAGAGACGCGTCCAATGACTACGGCGCGAAAAATATCCCGAAGGAAGTCGGATGGCGGTAACCCATACACCCCTTTGCACAAGCCCACCGCCCGCAGGACAACGGATATTCCCGCAGCCAGGGCTATTACATCTCCCCCCAAGTATCCCTGTCATTCGAGGCGAAGTCGAAAAACTAGTCTGCTCCTGAGTAGTATCGCTGTGGTGTTTGCTTGCAGTTGGTTGCCCATCAATATTGTCAACCTTCTGCTGGATCTGCGTGAACTAAAATTTGAAGTTCTGTCAATCAACGACACAGAGGTTGGTCCTCTGGACACGGAAGGTGCACTGATGAACACCTCGTCCAGTGTCTTGAATCCCCACCTGCAACGCCCGGCCAACAACGACAAGGGGTCACTCTCCGGGGAGCTAGTTATCATTACGCAGGCTGTGTGTCTGCTGTGCGTTCTGTTGTCGGCCTGTGTCAATCCCATGCTCTACGGTTGGCTGAACGAGAACTTCCAAAGGCACTTTAAGAAAATACTCCGTTGCCGGTCATCCAACCAACCAGACGTCAGCGGTGACGCCTCGCGGCGGCGAGCAAACTGGCCGAGTAAGCAAATCCATTTTTTTTAAACAAAATACCAGATAAAATTTATCCTTCATCGTTACTTGTTGTTCAGATTGCATAAAAACCGAGAATATATTTAAATCTGATAGATCACCATCACTGAACCGAAGTTCTAGAAGATGGTAATGAGAACTTACTTGGCGACCTAAAGAAGGCACGCAAACAGGACCGCCCACTATACATCCGGCTTGGTGCCAACTTCCGGGAAAAGTGGCTTACAACTAAAGCAAAGCTTACGTGGATTTTGGGGTTCGGTTCAGAGATGAGATTAAATTAAGAGTAATATTTAGTGTCAGTATAATATTAATGGTTAAAACCTGGGATGGTGTTGATTGTGTAGTTTAGGTCTGGGGTAAAGCTAAGGTAAAGATTGAGGCAAATGTTTGCATCCCATGCTGGTAACTTTAAGCTTTACCTTGTAGATAGAGAAGTAGAAGGCTTTTCGATCGCTGGAGTCATAGTTTCACTTGTCAGAAATAAAAGGCGGCAACTGTTGCTTGTCTTTCTTTGACGCCTTTTATCTCTGACCAAGGACTCCAGAAAACGCCGAAAAGCTCAGACAAGTAAAACTATGATTCCGATGATCGAAACGCCTTCTACTTCTCTATATACAAGGTAAAGCTTAAAGTCACAGTTTTTTTTATAGTGGTTAATTGTTAATACAGGTGAACATGCAAGTCCCAGGAAGTAATTGAGAACTAGAAAACGACTCGATCGCTGGGACAATATGTTTATTCACCTGACGTTTCTCAATCCGTAGCGGATTCATCATCGGAGACATATCCACAGAACAGTAGCAGAAACAGTTAGTGAGTGCACAGGGTTTTGCCATATAATTTAAACGTACAGAAAAAAATCGATAAATGCCTTGCATGTGCACTGATTCATTGCGTCAGTAATGACCACCTGGCCCTGTTGTGTTGGCATAGGATGACGTAGTGGCTTGTCTGTTCCCCGAGCGGCGACTTGCTTTGGCCAAATTTAGTCTCAGCACTGAATATTGATTGGCCAAATCGTTGCAGTTGTCGACGGATTGGGGGCCCGTGAACCATTACCCAAGTAATTCTCAGCTCACTCGATTGTCACCTCTTGCGAGATTTCGGCGTCATCA